CCGCTGCCGCCGCCGCCACTGCTGCCGCCGCCGCCGGGCGCTCCAGCCGCTGAGGAGCTCACAGCGTCCCCTCCATAGGCAGGAGGAGCGCGAGCCAAAAGGAGAGATTGGCGCGAGGCGGAGGGAAGACCGCTCGCTCCTCCTGGACGCGGGCGGGCGGGCGGCGCGCACGCGCGCGCTCTCTCGCGCTCTCCTCCTTTCCCACGCAGAGAAGTCACCCACTGCTGGAGGAGGAGGAGGAAGAGGAGGGGAAGGAGAAGATGGGCATCGGGGCAAAGGGAGCGCGCGGGGAGAAAAGGAGGGAGAGGACCGTGGGGAGGGAGGGGGTCTCCCGAAGCCCCGGCAAGAGAAGGGCCGGAAAAAAAAAGGGGGAGGGTGAACCCGCCGGGGCGGAGAACAGCCGCCGTCAGGCTGCACCGGGCAATCAGGCGCAGCCGGCCCGGGCTCTGCCTGCTTCCCTGCCCGCCTAGCTGGCTCCCTCCCTCCTTGCAGCCCGTCGCTGAGGCGAGGGAAGGCTTCTTTCACCCCCCAGCGCCCGCCACCAGCTTTGGATTTTGGACAAGGCATAGGACTGCGTGAGGCGAGGAGTTGGTGCGGAAAGGAGCTTCGGAGGGACATTGGCAAGGCGAGCTGTCCGTCACGGCGACTCATCTGCATATGTGGGGAAGACACGCCCCCTCACCGGCTGACTTGAACCCAAATGGAGCCGAGGAAGGAAGGAAAGACTTGGGCGGGACTCTCTCGAAGAGCGAAATAAAAAAAAAGGGGGGGAAGCCCCGCCCCTCTTCTCGGCGCCTGAAGACAGGAGAAGGGAGAGAGAGAGAGAGAGAGAGAGAGCGGGGAGGGAGACCGGGCGGGAGGCTTGAGGCCCAAGGGTGCAATGCCGTGGCTGGGACTGAAGGAGCTGGTGGCCGGACGCCGAGCCACGGAATGCGTTGTTGCATTCTTCCCTCCTCGCTAGCTCTCCCGCTTCTTCCCACTCACGTCCCCCACCTAGCTACCCCCCCTCATCTTTGGAGGTTTTCCAGCGTCACGTAGTCGCAGAGCTGTCCGCAG